GCTTGTTCCCAGTGCGAATGAGAGCCACTCTCAGCATTGCAGGACACATCCTGGAAAGGCAGCCCCATGGGAATGGTAGGTATCTCTGGGAATGGCCAGCCGACTCCAGCAGGAGGAATGCAAGCAGCAGAGCGTGGGCGGGTGGCAGTCTCAGCACTATTGGTTTTCACTTGGCTCCACTGCTCAGCTCTCCCTGGATGCTATTTTTAGACTGTTAACCTGTTACTACAAAGCTACTTACCCCTCCAGCTCTGCCTCAATGGCCAGAGTCTGTAAATGCTGCCTAGGACGTGGCCAGAGCAGTTTCACAAAGTTCTTTGACCACAGAACCCCACCATCTCATTTCTAATGGAGCATCTCATGGCCCTCCCAGAGTTCCATGGGGCACACCTCGGGGAAAGAGCCTGAATGGTAACTTAGAAAGCACCTTTGAGTATGTTTTTGATTATTCTCAAAGAACAGAACACCTAATAAAATTCTCCCAAAATAATAAATGAGCTAACATGGGGGGGTGGCTTATGTGCCAGGCGCCATTCCAAACATGTTGTGGGGAGCCTGCATTGACTCCTCACCACACCCCTATGAAGGAGGGGTTATCAACCCCATTTTACAGATGAAGAAATCAAGGCACTGAGACTGTAAGTAACTTTCCTTAGGTCACCAAGGTGGTGAGAGATAGGGCCAGTCATTTCATTGCCAGCTGTACTCCCATAGATGGGAGGTTAAGAGCAGTGGCTCTCAGCCCTGACTACACATTTGAATCCCCTGGGGGGGCTTGGAAAAAACACAAAGCCCAGGCTTCAACCCAGACCAGTTAAAGCCAAATTGTTGCCAGTGGGTCTGTTGTTATTATTTATTGTTGTTTGCCGTCGAGTTGGCCCCGACTCATAGCGACCCCTCCTTGGGTTTCCGAGGCAGTATCACTACAGAGGGAGCTCTGGTAGCATAGTGGCTAAGACACTTGCCTGCTAACCAGACGGCTGGCGGTTCAAACCCACCAGCCACTCCTCGGAAGGAAGGTTGGGCAATCCTACTTCCGTAGTGATACTGCTTCGGAAACCCAAGGAGGGGTCGCTATGAGTCGGGGCCGACTCGACGGCACATAACAACAACAACAACAATCACTACGGAAGTAGGATTGCCCAACCTTCCTTCCGAGAAGTGGCTGGTGGGTTTGAACCGCCAGCCTTCTGGTGAGCAGTCAAGTGCCTTAGGCACTATGCTACCAGAGCTCCTGCCAGTGGGCCTAGGTATTAGTATTTTTTAAAAAAATTCCCCAGAGTATTCTAATGTATAGGCTGTGAGCCAGCAGACCACAGCAGGGGTTGCAAACTGTGGCCCAGGGAACAAATAGGCTAACTACATGTTTTTGTAGATTTTGTTTTACTTGGATCCACAATCAATGCTCATGGAAACAGTAGTCAAGAAATCAGATGTCCTTTTGCACTGGGCAAATGTGTTGCAAAAGATTCTAAAGTGCTGAAGAGCAAACACGTCTCTTTGAAGGCTAAGGTGCGCCTAACCCAAGCCAGGTGTCACCTCATATGCATGTGAAAGCTGGACAATTAAGGAAGACAAAGAAGAGTTGATACCTTTGAATTATGGTGTTAGTGAAGAATACTGAAAAGACCATGGACTGCCAGAAGAATGAACAAATCTGTCCTGGAAGACATACAGCCGGAATGCTCCTTGGAAGCGAGAATGACCATACTTCATCTCACTTACTTTGGTGATGTTATCAGAAGGGACCATTTCCTGGAGAAGGACATCATGCTTGGTAAAGTGAAGGGTCAGAGAAAAAGGGGAAGGCCCTCAACAAGATGGATTGACACAGTGGCTGCAACAATGGGCTGAAGTATAGCAAGGGTCGTAAGGATGGTGCAGGACCAGGCGGTGTTTTGTTCTGTTGTACAGAGAGTCACTATGAGTTGGAGCTGACTCGATGGCACCTTACAACAACAACCACTACCACTATTTTTTATATGGCTTTGAGCTAAAAAGAGTTTTTCACATTTTTAAATAGTTTTTAAAAATCAAAACAAGAATAATATTTGATGGCATGTGAAAGTGATATGAAATTTAAATCTTAGTGTCCATAAATAAAGTTTTATTAGAACACAGCCATACCTGTTCGTTTACATATTATCTATGGCTGTTTTCCCAGTATGGCAGAGTTGAGTAATTTCAACAGAGACTGTATAGTCCACAAAGCCAAATATATTTACTCTCTGGTCCTTTCCAGAAAAAGTTTGCAAGCCTCTGCATTAGAGGAAACTGGCATCTGGACCAGCAAGAGAAACTTAAGATAGGTCTGAGGAAGAACTTCCTGGCAGAAAGGTGATTAAACCAAGGAGGCTTTGGGATTCCTAACCCTGGAGTTAAAGAGGACTCTACCTATTGCCCTTCACAAATACAAAATGGGGCAAATACGGCAAAGAGAAAACCTGATGTCATTGAGTTGATTCTGACTCATGGTGACCCCACTTGTTTCAGAGAGAATTGTGCTCTATAGAGTTTTCATTGTCTATAATCTTTATGAAGGAGCTCTGGTGGCATAGTGCCTAAGACATTTGACTGCTCACCAGAACACTGGTGGTTCAAACCCACTAGCCACTCCTTGGAAGGAAGATTGGGCAATCGACTTCCATAGTGATAGCGCCTCAGAAACCCAAGGAGGGGTCGCTATGAGTTGGATCCAACTCCACAGCAGTGTTTTATAATCTTTATGAAAGTAGATTGCCAGGCTTTTCTTTCACAGCACTGCTGGGTGGCTATGAACTGCCAAGCTTTTGTTTAGTTGTTGCTGTTGTCATGTGCCGTGGAGTCATCTCTGACTCATAGCGACCCCTCCTTGGGTTTCCGAGGCAGTATCTCTACCAAAGTAGATTGCCCAACCTTCCTTCCATTTGTTTAGTAGCCAAGTGCAAAGCATTTGTACCACCCAGGGACCAAGGGCAAAGAAATCAACCCCAATTCACAACCATGGAACTCCCTTAGTAGGTTGTGACAGTTTTGCCGGGCCCTGCACCTTTGTCTTGGCCTTCTGTGTCATCCATTGCTGGTGTCCCGGAGCCATCCTCACCCCCTGCCCTCTGGTCATAAGCAATGCTGGATTCTCTGCCCTCAGCCACTCCATTAGGGTTCCTTCCTCACAGAGCCACCCCAATATCACAAACCAGCTTAGTGAGTCAGCCACCGATCCCAGGGAATCAGTCATCATCTGAGCCTACACACCATGCAGCTGTCTGACTCCAAACAGATTAAAAAAAAAAGCAGGTGGATCCACTTTCCAAGTGGTGGCTTTGATCTTGCATACACAAGATTCTCATACTCATCAGACCGGAATAGGGAAACCAGAGCACAGTATCTGGTTTCTCCTAGATCAGCCTGCTTTCCTTGGTGCCGGGCCCCCGGACCTTGACTGATTTTGCCAATGCAACAAAGAGCCCCGGCGTCTCTATGGGCATGGCCCATTGGCAGCTGTCCAGGCCAGTTTGGATGGGGAAGCCTTTTGTCATTGGGAACTTGATATGCCCTGAGTCAGAGGATGGCCAGGAGCATGATGCCAAGTAGAGGGACTTAGATGGTTCTCTCAAAGTGGCCCCTAGAGCCAGAGCTGCTGGGATAGATGCTCCCGGTAGGCATCACAGGTCTGACCCATGAGGGGTTTCAGATAGCCTCAGATAACACCTCAACCTCAGAGGTACCCATCCCAACCTCCCAGCCTGCTCTGCTGTACCAGTGGGGGCCAGGGATGGTCTTGGGGAGGCCTGTGAACCACAAAAACAACTTGTAAAATGGGTGTCCACAGGTGATACATGTAATTTTCTTAAAGTCTATCTTTGCATCCAGTTCTCAAAGGCCATGAACCATTGGGGCAACTCCAAAGTGCCTGCTCCAGGCCTGGAAGAACAGGGCCACAGGGATGTAAGGAACAACATTATTTTGTTTCCAAACATTTGTACCTCAGAGTATCAGCTCCCAGAGGGCAGGAACCAATGTGCCCAAGCTACTCCTTACAAGCAAGCAAGTGCCTCCTGCACATTTTGTTTTGTTTTTGAAGATCATATGTGTTTGTTCAGGGAAGGAAGAGAGGAGTCAAGTTATTCCAGCCTTTGTCACAGCAAAAGGAACACCAGGGAATACATCTCTCTCCCTGATACCCCAGAAAACCTGGAATAAGTCCTCAATGTGGAGGGGCAAGATCACGGGCCTTGGAAAGTGACAGTCTTGGCCCAGGTTCAGAGCCCGGCTCCACCATTTACTGTCTAGAACTTGGCTAGGACTCTGAAGCAGCAGGATGAGCGTCCCCTGGGAGCTTATTAGAAATGCAGAGTTAATTGAGTCAGATTCTCCATTTTAACTAGATTCTCAGGTAGTTGCTATGCATCTGAAGTTTTGGGGCTCATTGACCTGGGACCCTGGACAGGTCATATTCCTCACCGACAAAATGGTGATAATGCCTACTTTAAAATGTGATAATTAAATGAGATGATATATGCCACGTGCTTAGCACGGTGCCTGGTACATAGGAGTGTTCCATATTAATCTCCTGGTCTTGAGTTCCCTGCCAAGGGTCTCTAGGCCAGCCCTTTCTCTTATGGAGTTTAAATTTCTTCTCCATTCTCTAAAAATCTATTAATTTTTCACTTAAGGGTGTTGTAGTGCTGAGGTCGGACAGTAGAGGGCACTCTAGACATTTCCATGGCGAAGAACCTGCCCACCAGGAGCGCGCAGGCGCTAGTGAGTCCCAGGGAAGTCGGGTGGTGGGTGCAGGTATGCTGCTGCTGTTCGCCTTCCGGGCAGGGGGCGCTTGTTGCCCATAGTCCACCACACAAAGCGCTCACCTTCTGGGGTCGAATGTCCTGGGCTTGAGCCTGCAGCCTCAGTTATCTGGTCCCCATTTGACCTCCCACTTCTAGTTATAAACAAATTGCCCAGTGCTCCAAACCTCCTGGGCCCAGTCCCCAGGCTGGTGGGGAGACGTCTCCCACCGGCCTCTAGACATTGATGAAGGATCCCTGGTCGCCGTTGGCTGTCTCCGGCTCTACGCAGCGTCCCTTCCTCCGCGTGACCCTCCGGTTCCGGTGGAATTTGGCATAACAGCGCAGCCCTGAGTGAGGGGAGCAAGGGAGTCAGAGGTAGACTGGCCATCAGTGTGCCACCCACGTCTTCTCTCACACCCGGTGCGCTGTTCTTCCCTGCAGCCCACCCTCTGCACCGTGGCCTGAATGAGATTTACAACGTGAATCAGATTCCAGTTATATGAAATATCCAGATTAGGCAAAGCCATGGGAACTCTCATAGCGCTGTGCCTAAGGGATTTGACTGCTAACCAGAAGGCTGGCAGTTCAAACCCACCAGCCACTCTTGGGAAAGACGGTTGGGCAATCTACCTCCGTAGAGATACCTCCTCGGAAATCCAAGGAGAGCTCACTACGAGTTTTTTGTTTTGTTTCGTTATAGAGACAGAGAGCAAATAGTGAGTGGTAGCCAGGAGTTGTAGGAGTAATGGGAGTGACTGGTCCTGGCTAGGGGATTTCCTTTTGGGGTGATGAAAATATTCTGGAACTATATAGAGGTGATGGCTGCACAACATTGTGAACGTACTAAATGCCACTGAATCATACACTTTAAAATGGTTAAAATGGTAAAGTTCATGTTTTGTGTATTTTACAGTTTTTAAGTTAATCAGATTCTGCCCTCCATGGCTTTCCTTTGCAGTTGAAATAAAACCCAAACTTCGTACCTTGCCTACAAGACCCTTAGGGACCTGGACCCTGCTTCCTGTCAGATCTCACCACCACCCCCATGTTCCTCCTATCTCTAACTCCATCCACTCCCAGTCTTTTTGCTGTTACTCATATATCTGTAAGAGGTCTCTGTGAGTTGGAATTTACTTTTTGGCAGTGGGTTTTGTTTTGTCTTTTATCTAGCCATATCCTGCCTCAGGGCCTTTGCAGTTGCCATGCCCTCCATCAGAATTCTCTCCCAAGTTCTTTATGTGATCAGCTCCTTCACAGCCTTCAGGTCTCTAAAAGACATCCTTGACTGCCCTAATTAAACTAAGTGCAGTCACTAGTGGGAGGGCTTGTGGCTTTGGCTCACTCTATTATGGCCATAATGAGCCCTGGTGGTGGTACAGGTAAAACAGTTAAGCATTCAGCTGCTAACCCAAAGGTTGGTGGTTTGAACACATCCAGCAGCTCTGTGGGAGAAAGATCTAATGATCTACTTCCATAAAGGTTATAGCTAAGAACATCCAATGGGGCAGTTCTACTATTGTCACATGGGAACTTGATGGCACCCAACAACATTATGGCCATAGTCATGTGGGTAGTTATTTTTCACTTACAACCACATCTGGTTACATCCTCCAGATGGAAGTGGAAAGAGATGTCAGTGTGGCCTGAGCAACCCTAGCTTCCAGGTTAGAGGTGGCCACAAGGAAAGGGGACATCTCTATGTTAAGATCCACTTATGCTACTATCAAAAGAGTAAGGAATTGCTGTGAAGTCTGTGCTTAAGTGTCTGGCATTTGAACCTGGACCACTGAGCTTTTGGACCTCTGACCACACAAGGGACACTTGGGAGAGGGACAAGAGATGAGCAGGGGTGGTTGGCAGGCACAGAAGGCCTCCGGGAACCAGGCTGGCCATGACTACTGGTCTCTAGCCCTGGGCCCTGCTGTATTCAACATGTTGGGATTTCTCAGGCATCCTGAGGACCCCTGGTCCCCAGATCCCTCTGATGTGGCATCTTGGTGCCCCACTCCCCTTCCTGGATCATCTTCAATGAGGGGCCTGAGTAGTAACTTCCATTCTTATTCTTTTCTGGAGTCTGAGTCTCCAGGGAGGAAGCAAGAGTTTTGATGGGATTGACTAGCAAGAGAGGGAACAGAGGCAACGAGCAGATGGTGCTCTGGGTGACTACGAAAAGCAGCGTATACTCCCTCCCTCCTCCCTTCCCTGAGGCCCAGGCCCAGGGGCCACCCACTGAGTGCCCAGCTGGGCACCAGCAGGCATATTCTGTATGGCCACATTCCCCAGTTGAGCTGGGCTGGACCTGGGGTCCAGGGACAGTAGACTGGCCTCAGCACAGCACTGGACTCCCGGGACTCAGTCCCCTCCAGCCCGCTCTGTACCTGTTTCCTCTTCTGTGAAACGGGGCCATAACCAGGCACACAGGCAGCTGGAGACATTGCTGCGTGTTTTCCAGAAGCCAGCTTCCTAGCATCATCACCTCCACTCTCTCTCAACTTTCTGCTGGTTCTCTCTGCCTCCACTCCTGACTCCCAACATCGTGCAGCCAAAGTGCGCTTTTTAACTCATGAATCAGACCATGAAAGGTCCCTGCTTAAAACCTGCCGTCACCTGATCGAACCACTGAGACTATGGTCCCTAGCTGCCCTTCAGGTCTAGAATTGAACCCACACCTGTGGCTTCCTGCCAAACAAAAGACAGGCATATGAGGTGAACATTTACACTAGGTAGATACACTCCTTGGAGAGAACAATCATGGGAGAATAGAAGGGCTGTGTATGCACAGGGACATAGCTCAGGGGCCAGGAGTGCATGGGAGGGAAGGACACAGGGAAGAGGTAATTATGGGGAGGATGTAGGAGGGGAGCTGTTGCATTGTGGGAAATTCAGTCAATGTCATGAGACAAAGTGTATGTGAACTGATGTATGGAAAGTGAATTTGCTCTGTAAACTTTCACCCCAATCACAATTAAAAAAATAAACAAAAACAAAAACCCTGCTGTCGACTTCCAGTTACAAATTGGAATCCAAACAAACCTAAACGATTCTTCTGGCCAGCTTCTCCCACCTCCCCTCATATCACCTTCCTCGCTGGTCACTACATTCCAATCCTAGTCAGGCTTGTTCTTGCTCAAAGTCCTTGCCCTTGCTCTGCCTCCTGCCGGGAACATTTTTCCTTCCTGATCTTCAGACACTCAGCTCCCCTGTCTGCCCCTGTCCATCCTTTCTGATAACTGCAGGGACTCCCTAATCATATCATCCTGTGTTATTTTCTTTATAGTCCTTATCACTTTCTAAAGATATCTACTTATTTGCTTATTGTCCGCTTCTGTCGTTGGAATGGAATGCATGGGTGCAGAACATGTTGGATTTTCTCAACGCTGAATCCCAAGGTCCAGAATGGCGCCTGGCACATAGTGTTGTTGACGTTAGCTGCCGCTGATTTGGCCCCCAACACATAGCAACCTCGTTCATAATGGGATTGCACCGTTGCGATCCATAGGGGTGTCAATGGATGATTTCTTGGAAGTAGATCACCAGGCCTTTCTTCCTAGTCTGTCTTCCTCTGGAAGCTCTGCTGAATCCTATTCAGCATCGTAGCAGCACACAAGCCTCCACTGATGGACGGGTGGTGGCTGAGTGTGAGGGGTCTTCTGCATGGGAGGGGGCTTCTACCACTGAACCACCACTGCCCCCGGACACAGAGTAGGTGCTCATAAATGCTCCTTGGCTGACTGGGTGAATGAATGATTGGGCCTAAATAACTCTAGCTTTTGGAGCAGACAATTTTTTTTTTTTTAATTGTGATTTGGGTGAAAGTTTACAGAGCAAAATCGTCTTCAACAGTTCATACACATTTTGTTGTAACATTAATTGCAATCCCTATAATGTAACAGCTCTCTTCCCACTTCCATCCTGTGGTTACCTTTGCCCTGTGCACTTCTTTCCTATGCATTCTTGCCCCCTGAGGTTTCTCCCTGTGCAAATGCTACCCTTCTGATCTCCTATGGTTGACTATTCTAGGAAGTTAACCTACCTGATGTAATTTTTCACCTCATGTTGTTGTTGTTGTTATGTGCCCTCAGGTCAGACCTGACTCATAGCAACCCCTCCTTGGGTTTCCGAGGCGGTATCACTATGGGAGTAGGTCGCCCAACCTTCCTTTCACCTCATTGGCCTGTCTGTTGTTTGGCTGGAAGCCATGGAGTGAGTTCAATTCCTGGCTCAAAGGATAACCAGGGGCCATAATCTAAGGGTTTCACCAGTCTCTATGAGACCAGTAAGCCTGGTCTTTTGAATGATTTTCAGTTTTGTTTCAGTGCAGCAGACAATTCTGAACGAGGAAGATGTCTGCAGAAACAAGGCCTGAGTCTCAGGATGGTGAAAAGCAGGGACAGAGCCCAATTTCTCCCCCACAGGACATGTGAACACTAACTGGCTATTGGACGATAGGAGGTAAATATTGTTAGGTTTAGGTGTTGTAAGGGTCTTGTGGCTATGTTTTTAAAAGAGTATTTATCTTTTAGAGACATATTATTAAATATCTGTAAATTCCTATGAGTTGCTTCAAAATCATATGGGAATGGGGGGAAGTGGGTAGGGATGACCCAGATTGGCCCTGAGTTGGTAATTCTTGAAGCTGGGTGATGGGATGTGGGGGCTCATGACACTATTCTGACTACTTTAGTGTATGTGAGGGATTAAATTTTGTCTCCCCAAAAGATATGCTGAAATACTAACTAACCCCTGGTACTGTGAAAGTGACTTTATTTGGAAATAGGGTCTTTGAAGATGCCATCAGTTAGGTTAACTTGAGGTCATTTGGAGTAGGGTGGTAACTTGAGAAAGGGAGGAGATAAAAGACACACAGTTTGGACTGCTAGACTCCTGACTGTGAGATGATACATTTCTATTCTTCTAAGCCACCCACTTTGTGGTAATTTGTTGTGGCAGCCCCAGGACACCCATACAGTGTATTGTTTGAGTTTTTGCAGAATAGAAAATTTAAAATATTCTCCAACTTTTCTAGCTGTGTACATTTGGGCAAATCACTTAACCTCTCTGTGCCTCAGTTTGCGCATTTGTAAAATGGGGATCATAATAGCTCCCTTCCTGGGGTGGTTGTGAGGACTGCAGGAGCTAATGTAATGAGAGGGAAGTACTTCACACAGGAACTGAGCACACCTGGTGCCCTGTGTGCTGAGGGGCAGGTACAGCTCCAGGTGGGAGGTCGTCGTCGGAGCAGCCAAGTGCATCCTTCTCCAGGACAGAGCTAGGAAGTGCTCCCTCTTTTCTACCTACTAGGAATGCCTCCCCTGGGATAGAAAACTGGTTGTGAACATGCCAGCATTATCAGGTTTGATCTTATTTAAAGAGACACTCTCCCTTTCCTCCCTTCTCCCGCCTTCAGATCTTGGGAGCTCATGCCAGCTTGTATTTCAGGAGGTGAGAAAAGCAAGCCATGGAAGCCATGCCAGGAATCGGGACTAAATGAGTTCCCAGGTTGGGGAGGCAGCAAGAGAAGCTGTTCTTGCTGGCTTCTTCAGCTCCCGAGGGGTTCTCCCACCCCCTCCCTCGCCGCAGGCCACCTGGTCCCCCCTCTGCCGGGAAATCTCATCCCCCAGACGCTCCTGCCTCCCACTCACTGCAGAACCAGCTTCCAGGAGCAAGAGAGGCTTTGTGGTTCTGGAGCCTGGGAGGCCCCCAGGGGTGCCGGGGAAGCCCCCAGGGGTGCTGGGTAAACCCCAGGGAGATGGCTCACCTTCCGTGCACATGCAGTCATCGAAGCATTTGTTGTTGAGCCCTCGGTTGTGGGGTGTGCATAGATGGTCTCGCAGGTCACAGCAGCTCCCTATGACACAGCAAGCCCACACAGTCAGCAACAAAAGCCAGACCCCTCCCTGCTACCCCATACATGGTCCCCCAGGACAGAAGATCTGTCATCCCTGTGGCAAGGCAGGCCTAGCAGGGTGGGCCATCTGGTCCACAAGGCTCCAACCGGAACCACAGATGGATGTTATGAATGAGGCCCCCGGGTCAGAGACCCCAGCTGCCCTAGCTGGCCAACCAATGAATCATCAAGGAGTAAAGATGGGTGGGACAGCAGGTGGAACAGCTGGCAGCCACCAGCTGTGGAGTCAGCTGGGAGCTGGGAGGACCTCAGGGGCCATTGACTGCAATGTTCCCTTTGGACAGATGGGAAATGAGGCCCAGAGAGGCCATGTGATGAGGTCTAACACAGGCCGAGGCACAGCCTGGAGCCAGATCTCAGAGCTGACTGCCCAGCCAGCCCAAGCTCCAGCCTTTCCTTTCCACTCAGAGGGAACCCTTCTTGTTAATTGCCATCAAGTCCATTTTGACTTGTGGAGACCCCACATGTGCAGAGCAGAACTGCTCCTCAGGGTTTTCAAGGCTGTGACCTTTCAGATGCAGATTGCCAGGCCTCTCTTCTGAGGCACTTCTGGGTGGGTGTGAACTGCCAGCCTTTCAGCTGGTAGTTGTGTACTTAACTGTTTGTACCAGCTAGGAATTCCTCGAGTGAACATAATGATTTGGAAATGAAGCAGCCTGCCAGGGAGCAGGCAGTCTGGCTTCTACAGTGCCACACTGCCGCTTGGTTGTTGTGTTTGTAGAATAGTTTGGAATGAACGAGTGTGGGGCATGGAGGTGTGCATTCAGGCCTCCCTGTAGGAGAGCACTTGTGTGGCAGTTAAAATTGTATGTCAACTTGGCTGGGCCTGGTTGAGTGGCTAGGCAGCTGGTAGTAGTTATTCCCCATGATGAGACTGGCAATCACCTCCATGGTGGGATCTACCACAAGCAGCTGAATAGCTGCTTCAGAGATGCATCTGCTTCCCGTATATAAGCAGCAGCTTTGGGAATGGTCTCTAGCTTATGGCACACTTGGACTCTGCATGTAGCTGTGTTGTTGTTTGGCAGCCTGCCATGCTCTGCCGACCTTGGGACTTTCAATGGACTTGAATTAATGGCCTGCCATGTGGTTTGGCAACATCGGGACTGTGCCTTTTTACTTGTCAACTTTGGGCTTGTCAGTCTCAGCAACCAGCAGCTGTCTGAGTGAAGAAAAGCCTGTAGCTTCAGTGGGCCGGGAGCAAGAGGCAGGGCTGAAGCCCAAGGTTAAGGGGCTTTCACCTAGCCCTTATAGCCTGGCACCTTGGACTTCTAGTCTCCAAAAATTGTAAGAATAAATTCCTGTTTGTTAAAGCCATCCCATTTGTGGTATATATTCCTGTCAGAGCGGCACTAGGTAACTAGGCAGTTCCCTGAGGCTAACTGTTATCACGTTAGGAGCCACCTCAGCTTTCAGGCCAAGGTCATGCTGTTCCCCACAGCCCCAGCCAGTGACTGACACATGAGTTCCAGGACCTGGCCATGTGTACACGCATGCATCCCCTAACAGGCTTTGCTTTGGTGCACCCCTTTTGGGCTGGCCTAGACTTTGCACCACAGTCTGAAGGTTTTCCTGCCCGTCCTGTTCCCTCTGCCTTTGATCTTTCTTAGGCTGTTCCCCTACCCCCTAAATGAACATCCTGCTTTTCTAACTCTGCCTCAGCCTTTGCTTCCCAGAGGCCCCAGTGGACTCAACAAGGACCAGCAGGTTAAGGCATCAATGGGTCAAAATCTCAGGTGCTTGTCTGCAGATGGTCTTGGTGGTAACGACTTCTGTACAGTGAGGATGAAAATACTGTTGAAAGAATCCCCTGAAAGCCCTCCAGAGGTGAGGAACAAGGCAGATCAAGTCCTGCCAGATTTTCAGAGGAAGAGGTTGAGAGGGGACTTATGAATTGAGGCAGCGTGTGGCAGTGGCTAAAAGTCTTGGTGAGACATTTAGCCTCGCTGGGGCTCAGTTTCCTTGCTTGAAAACTGGAGATGACAGGAAACTTCTTCTGGGTGCGTGTGAGGATTACACAAAGTAACATATGGCAGTGACTCTCAGAAAGTCGTGACCAGTTGCTGTCAAATGGACTTGGACCCATGTGTGTCACAGTAGAAATGTGCCCCATCGGGTTTTCAATGACAGGATTTTTTAAAAAATAGATCATTAGGTCTTTCTTTCAAGTGCGTCTAAGTGGACTCAAACCTCTAACCTCTCAGCAGCTGAGTGCTTTAACTGTCTATACCACCCAGGGAACAGTAAGTGGTAGCCGGTGTTGTAACTATTTATCATCCATAAAGGGTCAGGGAGTCCCAGGCCTGCTCACATGTCTAGGAATGCGCACTCCCCTCCCCTCGCAGGTCTTCCGCCAGCAACCAGCATAGCACCTTGGACACTATGTTCAAGGTGTAGTAGGTACCTGGCAGGCAGTCTTGGTGATGGTGGCATGGCTCCCCTTCAGCTGGTGATGTTTCATTACCATCACTGGAGAGTTTACCCCGGTGTTTCTCTGGGGACAAGAAGATCTGTTGTCAGACACAGAGGCCCACGTGGGCTCGGGACCATGGGCACAGGGAATATCAAGCTCAATTGGCCCAACATACTATGCAAAAACATTGTCCTATATCCTAATTTGGTGAGTAGTGACTGGGGTCTTAAAAGCTTGTGACTAGCCATCTAAGATGCAACAATTGGTCTCTTCTCCTCCAGAGAAAGGAAGAATGAAAAAAATCAAAGACACATGGAAACAATTGGTACAAGGGACTAGTGGACCATGCAAACCTCAGTTGACATGACCCCGAAACTAGGACTAGATGGTGCCCAGCTACCACTGCCAACCACTTGGAAATGGATCGAAATAGGTGATCTTGGATAGAGTGGGAGAAAAATATGGAACAAAATTCAAAATCATAAAAAAGACCAGTCTTACTGGTCTGACAGAGAGTAGTAAAACCCCAAGACTATGGGTCCTAGTCACCCTTCAGGCCTGGAATTGAATATACTCTGTGGTTTCCAGCCAAACAACAGAGAGGCCTATGAGGTGAACAATTATACCAGGTAGGTACACTCCTTAGAACAATCAACCAGGGGAGATCAGAAGGGCAGCATTTGCACAGAGAGATAGCTCAGAGGGCAGGAATGCATAGGAAAGAAGGACATAGGGAAAAGGTAACTACAGGGAAGAAGTGGGAAGAAAGCTGTTACATTACAGGAATTGAAATCAAAGTCATGAAACAATTAAAAAGAAAGAAAGAAAGAAAGAAAGAAACTGAGGCCCAGCAGGACAGAGAAGTTAAACTCCCAAGTCAAAACTTGGGAGACAGACTGCTTACTTGGCTGCCCCTCCAAGCTCTGTAGGAGACACTGTATGAGATCAACAGTATTACTGACCTAACGGATTTTTTTTCTTTTTCTAGCATAAAATGAGCTAGTAGATAGAAACTGTTTGGCATTTACTAAGCACTTGATCTTTTCTGCCTTTTTAATGAAACTTGCTCTTGAACACAGAGTAGCTAAATGGAAAGAAGAAGCAATGGAGTAAAAGAGCTGAACAGAAGATTTCAAAGGGTGGCTCCAGAAAACAAAGTAAAGCATTATAATGAAATGTGCAAAGACCTGGGGTTAGAAAACCAAAAGGGAGGTTACATGCTTGACCTTTCTGGAGCTGAAAGAACTGAAGAAAAAACTCAGGTGTCAAGTTGCAACAGTGAAGAATTCTATGGGCAAAATGGGAGCTCTGGTAGTGTAGTGCCTAAGGCACTTGACTGCTAACCAGAAGGCTGGTGGTTCAAACCCACCAGCCACTCCTCGGAAGGAAGATGGGCCAATCTACTTCCATAGTGATACTGCCTCGGAAACCCAAGGAGGGGTCACTATGAGTTGGGTCCAACTCGACGGTGCATGACAACAACAACATGGGCAAAATTGAAAAATGCAAAAGCAGCAAAAGAAAATGGAAAGAATACTGATCACTGCACCAAAAAGAACTGGTCAACATTCAACCATTTCAGGAGGCAGCATATGATCAAGAGCCAATGGTATGGAAGGAAGAAGTCCAAGCTGCACTGAAGGCACTGATGAAAAACAAGGCTCCAGGAAGTAATGGAATGCAAATTGAGATATTTCAACAAATGGATAAAATGCTGGAAGCACACACTAGTCTATGTTAAGAAATTTGGAAGACAACTAACTACCTGGCCAACTGACTGGGAGATCTATATTTGTGTCCATTCCATTGAAAGGTGAACCAATGGAATGCAGAAATTACCAATATCATTAATATCACACATAAGTAAAATAATGCTAATGATAATTCAAAAATGGTTGCAATAGTATATCAACAGGGAATTGCCAGAAATTCAAGCTGGATTCAGAAGAGGATGTGGAATGAAGGATATCACTGCAAATGTCAGATGGATCTTGACTGCAAGCAAAGAATACCAGAAGGATGTTTACTTGTCTTTTATTGACTATGCAAAGGCATTCAACTATGTGGATCATAAAATATTACGGATAACATTGAGAAGAATGGGAGTTTCAGAACACTTAATTGTGCTCATGAGAAACCTGTAACTAGACCAATAGGGAGTCATTTGAACAGAACAAGGGGTCATTGAATAGTTTAAAATCAAGAAAGTTGTGTGTTAGGGTTGTATCCTCTCGCCATACTTGTTCAATCTGTATGATGAACAGATAATACAAGAAGCCGGACTATATGAAGAAGAATGTAGCATCCAGATTGAATGAAGATTCATTAACAACCTGTGATGTGCAGATAACACAACTTGCTTGCTAAAAGTGAAGAGGACTTGAAGCACTTACTGATAACGATCAACTACTACAGCCTTCAGTATGGATTACACTTCAACATAAAGAAACCAAAAATCCTTATAACTAGGCCAATAGGCAACATCATGATAAATGGAGAAAAGATTGAAGCTGTCAAGGATTTCATTTTACTTGGATGCACAATTAACGCCCATGGAAGCAGCAGTCAAGACATCAGATGACATATTGCATTGGACAGATGTGCTGCAAAAGACCTCTTTACCGTGTTAAAAAGCAAAGATGTCACTCTGAGGGCTAAGGTACACCTGACCCAAGCTATGGTATTTTCAATTGCTTCATATGCTTGCAAAATCTGGACAATGAACAAGGAAGACTGAAGAATTGATGCATTTGAATTATGGTGTTGGTGAAGAATATAGAATATACCATGGACTGCCAGAGGAACAAACAAATCTGTCCTGGAAGAAGTACAGCCAGAAGCTCCTTAGAATCAAGGATGGTGAGACTTTGTCTTACACACTTTGGACACACTACCAGGAGGGACTAGTCCCTGAAAAGGACATCATGCTTGGTAAAGTAGAAGGTTAGCGAAAAAAAGACTCTCAATGACATGGAATGACATGGTGGCTGCAACAATGGGCTCAAACAGCAATGACTGAGGATGGCACAGGACCAGCAGAGTTTCATTCTGTCGTACATAGGGATACATAGGGTTGTTATGAGTCAGAACTGATTCAACAAGCACATGCTAGCATTTTCCATTTTGGGTGTTGAATTATACTCAGTTTGAACTTGACTGCCCTCCCCACCCCATTCTGGGCATTCATAGGTCAGACTGGGCTCACTGGGGTTATACCCCAATAGATAGTTGGGGGTGGGTGGGAAGGAGCCAGATATAGGGGTGGCAGGGTAGGGAGGCATACCTTTCTTCTTTGCAGAGGGCCAGACCTCGGGTTTTAGGTCTTCATAATCTGTCCAGTCAAACAAAGTCATATCCAGTGTGGGCATCACCTCCCCATCTGGCCTGGGCTGTACCTGCAGAAGGGGTGCCAAGGATGAGACTCAGAGCCTTCTAACTGCTGGAAGCAGGAATGAGGGCCAGAGGGGGGAGGAGGGGCTCTTCAAAGCCACCTCATCTTCTGCTTGGCAGCCTGAAATCCCAGCCCAAGGGACATCTGGGTGACTGTCTCAGGCTCCCACTGGCTCCGGCAGCCACTTGGTTGGTGTCCTCATGCACAGCCACCACCCACTGAGCCACCTAAACACAGTGGTGCAGCCCAGAGAATCACTCCCCAGGCCCTCTGAGGAAGAGGCGGGGACCACCCTCTGGGCTGGGAAGGAATCGTGCTACTCAGGGTTTCTAAACTCACAAGGAGGGACTTGAACGGAACCCAGCTGCTCACTTCCCTGCCCGTCCTCTCTCCAGCAGAAGTTACCAGCTCTCCTGGCATCATGGAGGCCACAGTCAGGATTCAGTTGTATGTACAGTTCCAGCCAGAGGACTCAGGGTTCCTGAGCACTGGACAGACTGTGGCTGGTTCTACACACACCCACCTGTTCATAATAGGACATGGGCAGTAATAGCACCTTCAAGGGCTGGGCTCCTAACAGATGGGCTTCAGGGCTATGAAGGTGCAGAGAACCGTGCTTCCTGGGAAGACAGTCGACTGCTGTTATCAGCCTCTCAAAGGGGTGCAAGACCCAAGAAGGTAAAAAAAGATCTGTTGCTAAAAGAAAGAGTTGTATTACTTCTATTATTTTTTTTTATTAATCATTTTATATTATTTTATTTGAAAACAAATTTAAAGCCACAGAAAAGGTATAAGAATAGTGCAATGAACTCTTGTAAACCCTTCACTAGATTCACCAATCCACCACCCATCTGTCGGTTTGTGGCATTGTAGTGGTTTGTGTGGTGCTGTGATGCTGGGGGCTATGCCGTTGGCATTTCAAATACCAGTAGGTCACCCATGGTGGACAGGTTTCAGTGGTGCTGAAGATTAAGATGGCCTACGAAGAAAGGCCTGGTCATCTACTTACTTATGCAATGAAAGCCCACCAGATCACAACAGAATATTGTGTGATATTGTGCTGGAAGATAAGCCCCTTAGGGTAGAAGGCACTCAAAATACCCAGGGGCTGCAACAATGGACTTGAGCTCACCAACCACTGTAAAGATGGTTCAAGACCTGGCAATGCTTTGCTCTGCTGTACATGGGGTCACCATGAATCAGAGCCAACTTGATAGCAACAAACAACAGATAACACCAAAGGTTAGCATTTGGCCACAATTACTCACTTGCTGTCTTTCCGTATATCTTTTGTTAAAGATCTGAAGCAGATGGGTCAAAGCATTAACTGGTGCTTGCTAACACTGGGTGGTAGGAACTTGGGTTTGTAAGTTATTACTCTCTGTGCTTTTCTATCCATATACAATTCTTCCCCTAGGGTCCTACTGCTTTCAATGCAGAGACCCACATACTGAGCTGGCACCGGCTTCTTTGGCTGTCCCTGGAGTGAGGCCCCTGGGCCACCTTCTCCTGGGTAGCAGCAGCCCTGGCTCAGGACTGAGTGCCCACCCAGGCTGGAGCTGGACTGCATGTTTCAATTTAGGCCCAGTGGTCTCAACTGTCTCTTCAACTCTGATATACCAAGAGGGGTTTGCATGATGTGGTGGTCTCAAGGACCCTTCCAGCTCCAAGGCTGTTCTGGTGCTCCTTACCTGGGGCCGCAGAGATGTGACAGGCAGGATCAAGGACTCTTCTGTGGCAGGTGCTGCCTCCAAGGTGGTCAGGAAGAACATGGTGGGGGCCAGGCTGGTGGAAGACTCCTCCATCACAGCATCCTGCACCTGGTCTTCGGAGAATTCCACCCTCTTCATCAGAGAGCTGGGACCTCGGACCAAGGCTCGGCCTAAGAAAAGCAGCAGGAGACATGGGAGCTCTGTCTACAGCAAACCAGGGGGCAGCAGGGACCAGGTAACAAGCCCTGGGTTCAGTCAACATTCCTGCTACCCAGCATCCTGGGGAGGTAGAAATGGGGAGCCCAGAGAGAAAATGTTACTTAGGAGATGGCTTAGGGATTCCCTTTGTAAAGCAGCATTCCAACAAGTCCAAGTTGGAGTTGGCTGGATGCAGCCAGGGGTGTAAGAACAACAAATGGGAACTGGCAGGATTAATCATGGGAGGCTTCCTGGAGGAGATGAGGTTTGAGTAAGGGAGCAATGTGATAAAGGTTACAGGAAAGAGGCTTTTGAGAAGGCTGGGAGGTGAGTACAGCAGCTTCTCACACACAAGTGAGTGATCCCTATGTGGTGATAATTTTTAGCCTAGTCCATTTATTGAGCCCTACTGTGTGCCAAGTCCCATAATTTCATCAAACCATTGTAAGATCTCTAGGAGGTGGGTGCTACCTTCAGCTTCATTGATAATGAGCACAAAGAAGTTAGGCAACTTGCCTGAGGATGTGTAGCTAGTGAGAAACAGAGTCTGAATTTGAAGCCAGATCTGTCTGAGTGCAAAGTCAATACCTTTAACCACTAATGTCACCTTCCAAGACACACGGGCACGGAGGAGGGAGAGCATGAGGGAGGGACTGTACAGAGTTAGAGATCAGGGACAAAGGGGCTTTGAGAGAGTGGAGACCCCAGGTTCATCCTGCCTCATTTTCTCAGGCCAGGTCTGGCTGTAAGGTTGGTTAGGTCAGCTGGGGTCCCCTGACCCTGTAGAAATGAATTCCAGAGTAGAAAGGGGTCTTAGGGACCCTTGAATTTACCCTGTTCATTTTTTAATTTTAATTTTTATTGTTATTTGGGTGAAAGTTTACAAAGCAAATTCATTTTCCATACAGCAGTTCATACACATTCTTTCATGACATTGACTGCAATCCCCCACAATGTAACAGCTCTCTTCCCACTTCCACCCTGTGGTTACCTCCTCCCTGTGTCCTTCTTTCCCATGCATTCCTGCCCCCTGAGCTATCTCCCTGTGCAAATACTGCCCTTCTGTTCTTCCATGACTGATCGTTCTAAGGAGTCTATCTATCTGATGTAAATGTTCACCCTATATGCCTGTCTATAGTTTAGCTGGTAGCCACAGGAGTGAGCTCAATTCCAGACCTGAAGGGTAACTAGGGGCCATAGTTTTGGGAGTCTCACCAGCCTCTAACAGACTAGTAAACCCAGTCTTTTTTATGATTTTGAGTTTTGTTCCATGTTGTGCTCCCACTCTATGCAGTCATCCTGTTCTGTGTTGCAGACAAGGAAACTGAGGTCCTGTCACCCAAGGGTTCCACAGCTATTAAACAGCAGAGCCAGCCTAGTCCTGGGCCTCACATCTCTATGTCAACTCTCCTGGGAGGGGTCCCATTGGTCCACTGAGGCTGGAGGAGCTGCTGCTGAGCTGGGATGAGTCTTGCCCCATGTGTGCCCTCTAGCTTGTCTTCAAGGATGCCAGCAACCCTCCCCCACCCAACACAGATGAATCCCTTGGGGTGAGGGAACCCGGAGTCTGAGCTGAGGACCATGCTCTGCCCACTTGGAGGATTTCTGTAGCCCCAGCAGGGAAGCACAGCCCAGCTGCTGTAGAAGGGAGCTGGGCCTGCATCACACCCCTCTATGTCTGTGGCACTCTGCCTGCCTCCAGACACGCTCTTGTCACATAAAGATGCTTGCAAGTGGAGGTTGTTACCTGGGCTCAGTGCCAGGTGTCGGTGGGAAGGGGCCGTCTGGATGGAGTGCTGGGACAAGTTTGCTCAAAGACTGAATGGGCACGGGGGGCACCTGGGCAGTGGGGAGGCCAGATAGCTCACAGGGTTGGAGGAAATGTGGAGGAAACATCAAGGAATGTGGCAAGGGCTGGGGTGGGGGCCTCATTATGGGCATGTTCCTTGGGTTCTCTGTCTTCAGGTTGGACAGCACTGATTCTGCTTCAAGAAAAAGCTGACAACTACCTAGAACAGGTTGGGCAATCTACTTCTGTAGTGATACTGCCTCAGAAACCTAAGGAGGGGTCGCTATGAGTCGGGTTCGATTCGACGGCACAGATCAACAACTAGTAACAGCTACTGCTCATTGTCCCTGCCAGTTGCTGGGCACCATTCTAAGCAACCTACATTCCACGTCTCTGAATTCACACTAACGATACGTGAGACTAGTACTCTCATTTTTAAAGAGGGGGAAACTGAGGCATAGTAAGGTGGCTTGTCCAGGGCCACACACCTAGTAAGTGGTGAAGCAAGGATTTGAATCTGGGCCATCTGGCTTCAGAGTCTATGCCCTTAACCACCACTCTGCCTCGAAGTTGATGAAGGGATTTCTTTGATGGGTAAGGCAGTTCTTCGGTGTGCCTGGAGGGGACTGATCTGTTCCATCTCTATTCAGGATTTATAACCAGTTGCATTGAGCCTCTTCTGACTCCCAGAGACCCCATGTGTGTGGGAGTAGAACTGTGTGCCATAGGATTTTCAATGGCTGATTTTTCGGAAGTAGACTGCCAGGCCTTTCTTTCGAGGCCCTCTGGGTGGTCTTGAGTCTCCAGTCTTTAGGGTAGCAGCTGAGTGTGTTAACCATTTGTACCACTCAGGGTCTCCACTCAAGACTTTTAGTACTATGGATTTAAGTCAGATCCAAGGTAGAACTTCCCAACCAAGGAAGATCATATCCTGATAGGACCGTCACAAACCCTTCTCCTAGTCCTGTACTCGCCCGAAGGCCTCTCCCTGACCCCTCCCTTTACCAGATGCTCTGACCTTAGTGAGACTCCTCTCCTTCTCTAGGTGACTAGTGACTGTCAGCTTTGGGGCCTCTGGATGTTCTCCCCAGGACCTCATACCACTGACATCTCTCTCTTCACTCCCCTCTCCTGTTCCTGGTGTCCCCTTGCCATCTGGGTCTGAGTCTACCCTTACACTTCCACCCTCACCCCACCTACCCCTGTGCAAGCCCCGCCTCCTCGCAGATTTCCGATACCTCTGTGCAGCTTCAACCTGTCCCTGCGCCTCTTGTGCTCCCTGCCGTGTTTCTTCGTCCTCTCCAACCCTGGAGACCGGTTCTCCTTCTCAGGGTAGGGCAGCGCCAGCCCCAGGAGCAGATCCTTGCCCCGCAACAGGCCGGCAGGACTCTGTCCAGACAGCAGGCCCCCTGCCTCAGGAAGCCTGGAGGTCTGCCTGGAAGCAGTGACCACAGCCCCATCTTGGGCCTGGCCGGGCATGCCTGGGCCCCGTGCCTTCTTGCCCAGGCCCCGCCTGCGGTGGTGGCCAGTCTGAGGTTTCCAGAGCGCTGGGCGAGGAAGGTTGATGTGATTCTCAGGGAGGTTCCGGGCGGGAGTGCCAGGTGCCAGGGAGCCTGCGAGGCTCAGCTCCAGGAGCACCAGGAGGGCCAGGAGCAGCACGGGGGCGGTATGCATAGGGGGCCTGGCCATGGCCTCCTTCCTGCAAGAAGAACAGCTCTGTGAGGGCAGCTGTGTACCTTCCTCCTCCTCCTCCCACCCTCAGGCCTCTCCAGCACAGTGCTTCTCAAAAGGGATAGGGGAGGACTTTGCCCCCAAGGGACATTTAAATGGCAATGTCTGGAGACATTTTTGGTTGTCACAACTATGACCTCGCAAATTGTGACATGACACTGGCATCTAGTAGGTGGGGGTCAGGGATGTTGCTGAATATGCTACAATGAACAGGACAGCCCTCCAACAAAGAGTCACCGGACCCAGAACATTAGCAGTGGTGAGGTTGAGAAACCCTGCCTTAAGTAGTTTAAGCAACATCCAGCTTCCAGCTTAGTCTAGAGTTCGTTCTCTGCATACATCTCCATCCTTTGCCAAGTCCCCTGAAGTAGAACCCAGCCTTGAGGGGCTCAGAAACACCTCTCTGGGTCCAGGGACAACTGAAAGCCTAAAGTCAGACAGAGCAAGAGTTTCGAACACATGCAGTTCATCAGGAATTGTGGTACATCATTGACAGTGGCTTCATTAGGGTTGGTGTCATTTTGGTAACTCATGGGTCACTCTTCCCATGCATAGGGCCAGCCAGCAGATTCCCCTGTTGTGGGGTAATGGCCTGGCCCCACTCTGCCCACATGGCCCTCCTACCTCCTAACTCATGTCCACCACCACCCCACCCCACCCTGCCCCGGCTTCCTGCAGCTCCTCCCACTCCCATTGTCTACAGAAATCCTCTGTACACCATGGTGAGTGCCACGGCCTGCCCGTACCCTGACTGGCGGGTGATGGGGATGGGAGGAGTGTGGAAATGAGTTACTTCTTAGGTGATGAGTAACACCAACTCTAGTGATATCACTGCTTTGGTAGTTCCTCCCCATATGTGCTGGCCCTTCTGCTGCCACCACAGATCAAGGGGTCATTTTGGTGTCACCTCCTCTGACAGTGTCAAGGAGTGCAGTCCACACACACATCCCCCCCCCCATGCCCCTAGTGACACCACTGGTCCTTGATGTGAATTTATGCCACTTAGTCCTTTCAGCAGCAGCCATGGTGGTTAAGTGCTTGGCTGGTAACTGAAAGGTTGGTGGTTAGAACTGACTAGCTGGTAAGCAGGAAAAAGATATGGCAGTCTGCTTCTGTAAAGATATCAAACCAAAAACCCATTGCCATCAAGTCCATTGTGACTCATGGCGAACCTTTTGGACAGAGCAGAACTGCCCCATAGGGTGTCCAAGGCTGTAATCTTTACAGAAAGGAGTCCTGGTGGCTCACAGTGGCTAAAGTCTCAGATGCTAATTGAAAGATACTTCGAACCCACCAGCCACTCTGCAGGAAAAAGATGTGGCAGTCTGCTTCCGCAAAGATTATAGCCTTGACGTGGATGAACTTGGAGGACATTATGCTGATTGAAATAAGTCAGTCACAAAAGGACAAATATTGTATTAGTCCGTTATTG